GAGCGTCCCGGCGCCGTGGCCAGCGGCGGCCCCAGGAGAAAGGACAGTTGTGGCGCGAGGACCAGGACACCCGCACAGCAGGAAGTCCTGCTGAGAGCCACCACCGGCGCTGTCCGCCCGTCCTGGCCCAGGGCAGGGCCAGGGGAGTGGGGCAGGGCTGACCGACGCCCCGTCTTCTCAGCGGTGCCCGCCTCGGCTGTGTTCTAGGCGCTGCCGTCCGCCCGGAGTCTGGCGGCAGGGGCCGGCCCGCCCACGGCGAGCGGAGGACACGCGTGCTTGGTCCCGATGCCCCATCTGGGCACCTGGAGAGCAGCGCACACCGGCCTCGACCCCTCGCCCTGCAGGAGTGTCCACAGGCCGCCCTTCCGAGACGCGGGGTCCGCTCCGCCGCAGGGTGTGCCTGGCGGCTGCCGCCCGCGCCGGCTCCTCGGTGCGCCGCTGGTGGGACGCGGCGGCAACGGCAGCAAGAGGCTGTGCTGACCACGGACCCTCGGGCCCTGAGCGGCTGTCAGCCAGAGGCTGCAGCGTCGCCGCCAGTCAGTGCCCGAGCTCTGTCAGGTGCCCTCTGATTCAGTCTCCAAGGCGAGCACGTTTCCCTATCCTAGGTCAGGCACGTGCAAGTGTAAGCGGAGCTCAGTGGGAATGCCTGACCCCGGTGAGACCCTGACATCCGCCCCTCACCGCGGGAGCAGCGCTGGGTTTATCGCTGGGGACCATTTAAATGAGAGATGTGCCTCCACATTTCTGTTATGGGAACGAAGGCATGAAACCCTGCCATTCTCCGTCTGTGTCCTGGCATTTCTGTCTTGGGATCAAGGGGCTTCATCCAGAGGAGAGGGCTTCTCAACTGTGGCAGGCCCAACAACAGCGGCCCTGCCATTTCAAAAGAATTTTTATTTTTAGGTTACATCTCCCAGAGCAGAGAGAGTAGGTTCTCTGAAGTTAGATGAGTCTGGGTTCAAATCTAGCTTGGGTGTCCCTGTGTTAGCCTCATCCCATGCCATGGGACAAAAATCCCTGTGCCCTTTTCATAGATGATAAATAGGTAGGTCTGACCACTTCCCTACCTGATCAGCTGTCTGCTCTGTATGTCTACAGGACAAGGCTGACAGGAGCAGACAAACTCCTTAACCTGCACCGCAGCTCTGGAGGCAGGTGCCACTGTGAACTCTGATTTTGATGAGGGAAACAGAACTGAGAAGGAGATACTTGGGACTTGAAT